TGAGCTCTTTTGTGTTTAGAACAATATAAACTAATTCTTAAAGTATCAAACTGAATTTTTGTTCAATAAAAATCTTTCTAATGTTACTGTAGCTTTTTTTTCCCCAAACCTTTGTCTTCAAAATAAGGGTGTGCCTTATACACCGGTGCATCTTATATTCCGAAAAAATACGTTACTAGAAGTTTAAAAAAAACCTTACACCTATGAGAAAACTGAGTGATATATGAATAATGAAAAAAAGCACATTAAACCCACTTGTATGTCTTTTTGTTCTGGAGATTTTTCTTTAATTCTCACTTTACATGGTTGTGGGTTTTGGTCATTAGAGGCACATGCACCCCCTCTTTTGTAGCAGTAAACATACTCTGCCCTGTCAGGTGGACCAAAAGAAATAACATCTGTGTATTTAAGCAGCATATCTTCATTCTGTTCAAGTCTTCTGCCATTTACATACACACCATTTGTACTCTACAAAAGAAGAGTTATTCTTTAAAGCATATTCAATTACAAAAAAAAAAATATATTTTTTTTTTCTAAAATTGTACTTTAAACAAGAGATATAAAAAAGTCTAGACAGTACATTTCACATTCTATGCTATAAAAAACTAACCAAGTTCATGGAATTTTAAAATTATTAGTTTCCCACAAATATCATTTTGATTAAAACATGCATGTGTATTTAAAGAGTGAAACTGCATGTGCACACAATTTAATATTTCAGTTTTGTACTTATTATACAACTAAAAATTCTAGACACATTTTAACATCATCTATTATTCTGCTATTTTCAAAACATGTAAATCTTGTTAGACTTAATATTTTAGAATGAAATCTTTTTCATACACTTTTTTAACTTAAGAATGGTGTTCTTGATATTGTCTTTTTATTTTAAAATCATTCTGTCAACAGTTTTCAAGAATATAAAACTTAACATTATCTCTCAAACAAATCAGATACATATTATATACATTGTTTTTAGGTCTGATGTCCATCTATCTTTTAGGTTAATACTGAAAGGGTTCAATACACGTTCAAAGATCTCATCAGATAAGTGGGACTTTTAAGTATAAACTTCAAAACACGAGGACAAATACACAAGCTTATGGAAAATACACAGTTCTCTATTTAAATTTAAAGAATAAATTTGAAACATACATCACCTGAGAACATAAGGAAACAATAAGACCGTAAGAAATTAAGACTGCTCCAGCCTGGCTTTAAATCACAATGGTAGTTACATAAAAATTAGCTAATTAAGTAAAAGATAAAACAAAAGATTGCCTTATGTTCACATCCTATACAATGTAATTTTAATTCATGGTTTGGTTTTATTGAAAATATATATAAAAAAGACTTTCTGAAGGCAGAAAAAACATTGTAAGTTTGTATACTAGAGGACTTTAGGAGTAAGTAACTATGCATTAAGGGATAAAGCATACACCAGCCCTTTGTACCAAAACTATCCTCAAAGTGAATTATTTTACCCTACAGCCAAGCCAGAGTGAAACAGGGAAGTTAACCTGATAACTCCATCTTCTGAACAAGTTGGGGCAGTGCCCCATAGTTATCTATTGGGCAATGAAACCTGACAAACAAATGAAGAAACAGATACAGTTTCATGAGTCTACTGACTAAAGGTACAAAATTCCATATACAGTAGCTGAATTTAAGAATTGAAGGAATATTAAAATCAAAGTAAATCTAAAACTTTTCAATTTCTAATAGCTAAATATAAGTAGAAAGCTTATGGCTAACTATTCATACAACAATGCATTATTAAGGACTTTCTAATCAAAAATAAACTAACCAATTCTATATAACAAACTGAATATAATAATTCAGAATAAAATAAAGCCTATAAAAAGTAGAATATCCTAAATCTTCAATACATTTATATATGCTGTGCCATAACCAAGATGACAGACGGTTAGGTAAGTAAAATGGCACATTTCAGTATATGATTTTATCAACATTAGTTTTTCAGTAAAAAATTTTCAACTGTTTCTGCAGGAATCCATGATTAAACATGTAGTTAAACCTTTTCACAACTGTTCATTTATCATCTATTTCATTTTTAACTTGTAAACCAAACGAAGGCTCCAATAAAAAGAGTTGAAAATTTGTCAAAAGTATTTTGATGTAAGATGGGAGACATACGTAAATTTTTTTACCATAAATTTAATAAAATACCAGAGTTTTCTGTTGTTGTTGTGGAAAACAATTCTAATACTCGCATGTTTACTAAAATGTGATTAGATATGATAATAAAAATAAATTCACAGTTCATATACATGTAAACATTCTACATATCTTTAAAATTAGCACTAAATTACTTAGGCTTGAAATATAATAATTACCAATGTAACACTTACATTTGTATCACAAATGTGCCAACCATTTTTTTCTTTTCTGAAAATAGCATGACGTCTTGAGATGTTATATGACAGGAAAGTTACTGTAGATTCAGCTCCTCTCCCCACTACAACCTAAAGGTAAATTTATAAAAATAGTATTTTTATCAAATGTATAATTATAACATTTTATTAAAAATAATCAAAAACATGAAATATTATACAAAATTAAATGTTACTAAATTTTACTACAGGAAGGATATTACCTTTTTTTGGCAATAATATAGACATACTACTAGAATTATTTCATGTTTAATTAATTTAATCTAAAAAGAGGGGGTAGTGTTAGAATTGTTTACTTTGGTATGTAGAAGAATTAACATTTTTATTTGGACAGTTTTTCTATGATAATCCTCATGACTGGTAGAAGGAATCAGTCTGAAATATGAACCCAAGTTTTAGGGGTAATAGATTTAAGTTATAAAAGCCTAGTTGCAGATTTATTCTTTGACAATTTGTTTTTGAATTAGAGATTGAATTTGCGTAATTGTACCCTGTATGTTATTATTGTGAATTAATTTAAACTTCTGTTGGATAAATATATGAATGTGGAAGACTATTTTCATATTTCTGAAAGTGAGGGGTGACTTCAATGGATTGAACAGCTTTTTGTCACTTTTCTTTTTCTTATGTTCTAAGTGGACAATTTTTAGGTAGGGCAAAAGTAAGAAATGGTGTTCATTAGGATTCTATCTCAGGGTCATTCTTTTTTTTTTATGAATAATATAAAATGTACATTCCTGTTTTTAATTAAGTAGTAACATAATGGGTAGGGCTTTCACTCTTAATGATGTTTCCATAAAGTAGGATTTTAATATATGGTTAGGTCAAATTTTAAGTTGGAGATCTTAGAACCCACCAGATTGTGCATTCTGTCTACTTAAGAATAGGTATAAAATTTCCACTTATCTATTAATGTACAAAATCTACTTAAAATAATCATATCTTAATAATTTTTAGCCACAGCATAGTGGCTCATAGAACAGTTCTAAGTTTTTGTTTTTTTCAAGTATAAACTTTTAGCTCATAGCTCTGTCATCTCTTGACTGATTTGAGATCTAATTACAGTTTGGACTCATGAGGTCAAACCCTTTCGACTCATGTATTTGACCACACCAAAAGTCTCAGATTAATTTTCTCTAATCCTGCCTTAAAGAATTCCCTCTTGTTCCTATAAGAAAAATAATGAATATTGTAAATAACCCTCATCACAAATCATAAAATGCAATGATGACAGGAAAGTTACATATTCCTAACAGATATTGTCACACAACACAACTGTTTCTCAAAATTACTTACACTTACTCTTTTAAAAGGTGAGATACTTAAGAGAAAACTGAGTAATTGGGTTTCATTCTAGTGAGTTTCAATGTGTTACAGTTATTACTTTTTTGTTCACATGATTTCAAGAACTGGACACAGCTAGTGCTAACAGCATATTGGTAACAAGGTGTTCCAGTTTTACAATTAACACCACATTACCACTGCCTGTAATTATAAACAAAATTTGAACAGATATTGTGGTAATATTATTATAATGTGCATAAAGATAACATCAAATCACAAGTAACAAGGACTTCACAACAAACAGAAAACCAGGTTAGTCAGTGGTTATTGTTACATCATTAATTTTTACTACAATGTTGAAGAAGAAAGTTCCAACTTTGCACATGGAAACAATAATAGAAGACAGTGTAAATTTTGTTAGGGTGTGGCAAATAAATGTCTGTAAAGTTACTTTAGTCTGTCAGACCTTAAACATCACAATATGTAAGAGCCAATGTCCAAAATCTTGAATCTGAGGCTCATGATCCCTGATATTAAGTAGTTTTGTCCAAGTTGAAATAACTGCTAATTTCACCCTTCCATAACTAGGAAAAAATATGTCTTTATTCAAGCATATTCTGTTGTTTTTGTTTGCCTTCCTTCTTTTTCTAGTTTTGTGTAGATGTTCTACACATAGTTAGTTAACATCCTCATAAACAGGGTGTACAAAAGTCATACACTTGTACTAAATCTCTAGTTTAAGCAAAGGTTACATACCACAATCAATGGCCAATGCAGTTTATATCTGCTAGACCTTGTTACCTTGTCATGCCCTCTTGGAGTGAGATCATATTCATTTCAAAGGGTGTTGCAAAGCTTTGTATACTATAATGAATTGAGGACTTTATCTTCTTTTAAAATGTATAATAGGAATGGTCACTAAGTAGGTAAAATACTGTAACTTAAGATTGTGGAATACCATACAAAGACTTTTGTTCAACTTGAAAGTGTGGTATGATCACTTATTCTTGTCTTCATCTTGTACAAACAGACTTTTTTCCAGATCCATAGTTTCTGGATAATGAGAATAGAAGTCAGTAAATTTGGAAAAAAAAACCAGCAATTACTTGTTATATGAATTTATACATGTTTTCTTCTTCTTTTCCTTTGCTTTTTTGTTCATTTTATTCCGCACTTAACATTTTCTAAATGTTAATATTTTCCTAAACTATATTTCCGATAGATACCTCCTCTCACAAAACAGTTTTCTTTGATTTGTACTGCCCTCTACATGCACAAAATTTTTGCCCACACCTAGCCTTAATACTCCCACTAATCTCCATGTGTTTTCTATGTGGTATAGTTGCATTGTAGCATGGAAATAAGCATGTAACAACCCTCCACCAATAGGAGTGTGACACACTCTCCTAGCACAACTGATTCCCTCTATGCAGTAGATCCCAGTCTTCATTTCATGATTAGGTATGAAACAAAAACACACTGGAAGTGGGATATGTGAGATAAGTATTTATTAGAAATATATTTTCAATTTAGGAAAATATTAATTTCTGATAGGATAACTTACCTCTTCTCACAAAACAGCTAGGATTCACACTGACCCAGTGGAGGGACTAGTGTAGAAGTAACCTAGATGAGCAACCTCCAGAAAGCATTTGAAGAGAACTGTAACATGTATATTCCTCATCCAAGATTAATGAATGATGTGTCACAAAATGGGTGAAATGAGGCACATCTGAAAAAATGCCATTGGTGTAGAGTGGCTAGGGTGCATCAGACTGTAAGATTGAGGTAAATTCCAGTCCAAAACCAGCAACACCAAGATTAGATCAATCAGCCTAAAGTAGGAGGAGGATCCTGCATCATTCACCTCAGACCGAGGGACCAGAAGGGAAAAAGCACTTTTGTTCCAAGATCCCAAGCCATCATGTGTGTATAACCAACATGACCAACACCAGTAACCTCATGAACCAATATCCAGATGACAGTAGGAAGGTGGAAATGCAACATGGAGGGTTAACTTCAGTCCAAAACCATGTGGCACTGGGAATGTATCATCCAGTCCACAGTAGAAGATGGTCCCAGCTCACTCACATGTGAGGACTTTTGTTGACTGGTCTGACACCAACCAACACCAGTCGCCCAGGAACCAGAATCCAGGCAGTTGTAGAAAGGAGAGTTCACAGTTGGAGGGGCGAACTTCATGTACAAATGTGATGGAAAAATCCAGTTCACACCATATGGTATCTGGAACAGTACATCAGATTTGTGGTAGGAGGATAGTCACGTCACCTACACTGGCAGAACACCACTGCCCTACTCTCGACTAAGTGGAATTGAACACACTCAGAGGAAGCTTAAATTGTTCAACACTCCAGTGTTCTACTAGAAGAAGGAAGGGTGAACAGGTTGGAGAAAATGCAGTAGGTGACCATGAAACCTTATTTTGAAAAGCAAACTGCACCTGATTTGTTTTATTCATGTTAGCCCACAAGTGTATGGTCTGGGACAAACATACTTATGAATCAAAACCCCATGAGGATGAACCTACAAGTGGTCTTGTGGAACACCCAATCTCAACAGTGAGCATTAGCAATGGAACAGGCATACAGTGCAAATATAAGAATTAGTATACATAGACAGGCACCACTTGTCACAGTGCAGATCCAAATGACACTCACTTATTCAAAGACGAACCAATAAGTGAAAGAAGGTGATGGGAGGTAGACAATATCCAACTCATAAAGAAACCACCGGATGATGCAGAAAATGTGACATGAAAATATAAGGTGTGGGTCCACATGTCAGCCTGGATAATCTCCTCCAAAGAATGATGAAGTGATGAATCTGATAAGCAGAAACATGGAAAAGGTGACGAGAGTCAGGAGACAAGAAGGAATAAGCTATACAGATGAGTTGCCAAACCCAACCAGTTGCAGTAATAGGAGAAAGATCATAGCAAACTGAAGGATTCCTGTGTATATACAAACAGGACAGGAACCATGGAAAGGAGCCATGTGAGCCACATAACACCTCAGAGCCCTGACTAGATGCAGGAGATGAATGGGTTCAGAATGGGGAATATATATATATATATATATATATGGAAGGAAGTGAAATAGGAGTGAAGGCAACATGACCCTCATGTGCAGCAGAGGTTTTTGGTAGGAAAGTACAATCACGATAAAAGAGAACATAGATTTAGGGGGTAAAGGATGCAAGAGACATCAATGGTGAACACATCCGACTATTGATGTCCACAAGCTCAAAGGAGGAGAAAAAAGGTTTTCAAGGATAGGTGATACATGGAACAAGAAGCCATAGGTTCAAATGGAAGTAGAGAAAGGGCATGGAGGACAACATTAAGATCCCAATCTGGCAAGGGAGTAGTATGGAGAGGAAAACAATGGAGACAAAAAAATTAAACAAGAAAGAAATAACAGGAGAGGAAAAAGCATAGAGGAATGGAGAGATACAAAAGGTAACTGATAAGGTAGCTCTATAATTGGCAATGGTCAATGGAAGAAATCAAAAGCAAAGAGCTATGAGTAGCCAGTCATCCATGTAATAATGGAAACAAATCCCTTGTAAATGAAGTTGGGAAAAACTTTGAATATCCAATAAAAAACATAGGGAGCCAAGGCCAGCCTAAAATAGACATGTTGCTGTGGGCATAGTGAAAATAATAATGGGATGCTGGGAAAATGGGAACATGGAGGTAAACATCTGACACATTGAACTTTGTCCTTTAAAAACTTGGAATAAAAGCCCACAGAAGAGACAAGAAAGAC